TCATTCATTCACAGCCGTCGCATTGCAGCACCTGAGCCGTTTCACTGTTTTATTCCAACTTTTGAGACTGTTAGTTTTCACATTTCTCGAGAGATCCGCTAAATGTTGCAGATTTATTACCACCATAAAGCGGGATTAGGAATATTTTTTGTTCCTGGCATTGATTTGGGACATTTTGCCGAAAATCTATCCTTTTCCCAGACACTAGGAGGTGTCCTCTCAAAACAGTGGATAATTCGCCTCCACATTACACAGTCACTGCACATTATAATAAATCCTACGAGGCGCTTGGAGACGTCCTCCCGATGAAAAGATACATGCATTATTATCCATTACTGTAACACTGAGATCACTAAATGCATTTCATTTCAAATAGCTCCCGTGGTTGCATAAACCGAATCTTCTTATACAGTAAACCACATCGGTGCACTGGACATAAGAATTGCATTTTGCCCCCAGAAAAGTAAAATGAAACATTGGAAGTTGAGAAATGTTTAGAGTGTATCGAGCGCGTATTTCCACTCCACAGATTAGCAAAAAAGAGCAAAGGCAGATATGTACTTACACTGAACTTTACATTCATTTCTACCTTTCAACACACTCCCCAGGAAGGAATGGTAACTGGTGTGTGTCTCCCCGAATTATGTAGCTGTGGCTTCGGGATGTTGTAAATCACACAGACAGTGTGGAGCAGCTCCATAACACCGTTTACAAAACCTGCACAACTCAGGTGATACATTGTCATCAACGAATTGGATGAAAGTGCCGAATAAGATGATGAGTCGTATTCACACTCTCTATCCTGACGTGTTAAACGCTGCTCTGCCAAAGCAAGTCTGCATATAATGCCATACAAAACGGATTTGGGACCCCAAATGAGAGCAAAACTGCTCTCAAGCAGAAAAGCAAAATATATGTTTTGATTGGGGTTGGTGTCTGTCATATACAGTATGAGCCCCGCGCTCCCGTCTGTACCATATTTCACAACGAAATCCTCGCGGGGAGGGGGTGAGGGGGGGTGGGGGAGAGATGTTGCTTTCATGATGTGCTGTAGTTGAATTAAAACTAAAAATGGAAGATTGAAAATGCAAAGTAGGTCAATCAGCAAAGCAAACGAGGAGGAGAGTTAACGACTGGCGGTACATCCAGACGAGTACTGTGCTATAAACTGGGAACAGTTTAGTGGGAACACGTCCCATTGCTCTCTTCAGAGTGTTTGATGTCTGATTGCAGCAGTTCATTGAGACTCGTTAGTGCAGAGGGTTCTCTTCTCCCCTTTCCCCGTGTGACTGGTTTTCAGACAACTTATAATTGGTGCAGGTACACAAGAATACGGTCTGCAGTGTTTTCGCTCTGCTCTTTCGCGGGAAACTGGGTAATTGATAGCGCAAAAGAAAGGAGAAGGCAGTTTATTAATAACTTGACAGTTTGAGGGTAACAGTATTTACAGACACTGACGCCAACCGGTCCTGTTTTCAGGAGCTTCGCGATGATCTGCGGAGTGTTGGTTACACAGCACTTGTGCACAGGAAGGACTGACGGGCAACCGTGAAATGGCTTTAGATAGCTAACACAGATTAATACCACAATTGACACACTTTGATCGAATCACCATTAATAAGCATTTAGTCACTCTGCGTTTAATGGGTAACACTATGAGGACATTAAGGAGCATTGCGGTAGAATTTGCGGCTGTTCCCTGTGTTAATTGAGACAAGGGACGCCTTAAGAAACACCGCAAACGCAGACCAAAATTCGAGCCCTGCCTTTCTTTTTTAATGCATTATACCAAAAAAAAGGATACGTGTGCACAGAGGGTCTGTTGCTAATTATGCATAATGTTGACCAATCCACGTCAATGTGAAATATATCAAGTTGCGCTGCAAAATCGAGATTATTATTAAAATAATTAATTTGCTGTCGTATTCTTTTTTAAAAACATCGGATTGTAACCACATTTCGACTGTGTGTTCCCTGAATTTATGGCTAAGAAGTTGCACATTTTATTCATTGACGTCTCCCCCCACCATACACACACACACACACACACACACAAACGATGAAACGGGTGGCTCGATGCAACAGGTTCATACAATCCAGGTCTATTTGCTAGGACCAAAGGCCATTAGGACCATTCAACTCGTCCTGCAGCCATCGATAGCAGCAACTTTACATCAAATCTGAAAACCAATGTTAATGGAAAACGTTTTGATTTGGAGGGAAACGACCGCTTTGCGTTTCTCTCTCTCTCTCTCTCTCTCTCTCTCTCTTGCAATCTCTACACCGCTCCATTGATTCATCCACTGCGATCCATCATTCCCAAAACGAGTCGTTCCCCGAGTTCTAAACAAGAGTGAAAAAAATTCAAATAAAAGAAAAATTAATGTAATTTTTGCACAAACAATGGCAGCTGTCGTGCAAAGCCCGAGGATGGCGAGCAAGGCGCTGGTGAGTGAGCAGACTTGTTAAACCAGTCCACAGAACAATTCCCAACATGTTGGATGTACTCCGCCACCGTCGCACTTGCAAAACAAAAAAGATCGCCACGTCTTAACTTGTTAAAAACTCAATCCGTCTCTCGTTTAATTATCTGCTCTATATATTTGGTTCAAGAAATTGTCGCTGAATGCATTCCACTCGCAACATTTAACACATGTATGAGGATGGAATGCAACGATTCTCACATCTCTTTTGTCTTCCGTTTGTTGAATTCAAAGTCCCAAAAGCTTTATTTCTCACACACTTGCTGAGCTGGTGGGAGGTGGATACTGTAGGAATCAGATTGCAGGTAAATAGCAGCTTATCGCTTCTGTTGGTGTTTGTTAGATGTCTAAAATAGCGTGAAAAACACAAATCCTAAAGCATGAAGCCCCCTCGATCAATACCCACACAAATAATATTCCTGGAAAGAGCGCTCCTCTATTCTTGGACATTTTATTGACCTATATTTTAACTTTACCTGATTTAGCAGCTTGTTCACTACCGCACACAGTATTTAAATATTTATCAAAAAATCAGAAAGTAAACACAGATGGAACTGGAAATATTTAATAACCTTTTGTCTCCGATAAAAGCTCCTGTTTACAGTATACATACAATGTTCTGAACAATTATTCACAGATGAAATATTCAATACCAATATATATACAAAACAAACCAAAGTTGGAACCACTTTGCACGACGAATTTACTATACATCTATATTCACAGTTCAGTAATTCCAGGGGGAGGGGGGGGGGGGGGGGTTGCTTGTAAAGTGCTATTATATGGTTTCCTCTGATTTTCGACAATTTAGTTGCACATGTATAACAACATCACCATAAAAGAAAACGGCGTGTCAACAAGAAATGTAAAAATAACCCGGAGAAAGACCAAAGATGATGTGAAAAAGCATTTTTCCCTTAATTCCTTCGCTAAACGAAACGGAAAATCGCGTCTCTTTTGAGTAATACTGTCCCAATATTGTTTAACATGCCGGGATGTACTTCAGTTATGTTTTTAACTCGAGTGTCTCCATTCCTTCCACCAAACGTGGGTGAGCAGAGGACTGCTGGGTTACGCCACTGGAGTCCTGTCCACTTTAAACGGTTCAACTTAATGTCCGAGTACTCTCTCTGGCGGTGTTAAAGGTACCGTTTAAAAGGTGGTGTGGAGGAAAATTGATGTTGCAGTTCAAACCTATCAGAATCGGGGACATAATTTACCTTTCATGCTTTCCCTCGTTTAAGATGATGTTGCTATTGTATATATAGTAATTAACGTTGGGCGGTAATTAGGTCGAACAACATGTACAGATATCAATCCCACCGACTTCTGCATCATGATTCAATCTGTAAAATATTCTCAAATATTTTCAAACACAGGAAGGTGCATTAAAGCACGATGTAAAGCTTTGCATCGTGAATAGACCGAGGTGATTATGTTCAAATACGTATTTTTCATTTAATGCACGGTGGATAATTATGTATTTCCTGTAATTATATAAGAAATAATAAATGCATCCGCGATTTAAATCATAGTACTTGTAAATTAACACCCGGGAGATTTGTTTTGTGTGTGTGTGTGTTTTGTGTGTGGTGTGTGAAGTTGCAAAATATTGTATTTTTATTTCTGTATATCGTTAGATTGTGGAGAGAATGCGATAACAAATCTCCACGATGCACAGGCGATTTCTGAACTGGGGATACTGAGTTTCAATCTGCATTAGATGCATTAAAACTTGTCAATTTCACAAATGAGAAGCAGCGATTTTTCCATTTACCCTCTACCTATTTCCGTACAGCCCGATTTCAAACAATTTATTATTCGGCAGCTTCACAATCACCAATTCAAAGGCAACGCTGTAATCCTGGCATTCCTGTTAATGTCCTGAAAGCTGCAAAATATTCAGAAATCATATTGGTGTGAATCAGAAGTGATTATTGTGGGTTTTTTTGCTCGCGTCCGTTCGGGATTATGGGATGTTCAAAGAGTGGAGCACAAATAACTTTTAAAAGTTGCTTGAGGTTTACTTCAGTACAAGGATGTACGTGTGCTGTCGGTTCTTGCCATCTGGTAAATGATGTAAATTATAAAACTGTATAAAACATTATAAAGCTGTCAGATAAAGAGAACCACGTGAAACTTCAAATAAACACATTTCTAACAATTCTGACGTTTAGGGGCCAATTTGTGCTCCACATTCCTACGCTATTGAAAGCAAGTATCTACAGTTTTCTTTAAATAATATGTCCCATTAATGGAAAGTTGCAAAGTTTGGGGGCATTTACACAAAGCAAAAACCTCTTACCTGAACCATTTCTAATAGGAAGGCTCTCGGATCTCACTTTAAACCGCCCGACCCTATGTGCCTTTGCACTGACATTGCTGAGTCTCTGATTTTTAAAATAAAACCTTTTCACATCATCTTTAAATTAGCCGCTTCTAAAAAAAAAAAAAATTTTTTTTTGAAAGAGAGAGAGAGAGAGAGAAACGTGGTCTCTGTTTCAACATCGTCCGTTCTCAAGAATGGACGAGCACAGAGTGTAAGGAGTTAGTTTTTCCCTCTGTGGAGACTGAGCGAGTCTGGTCCAGTTGTAGAGAGGAGGCTGATGGTGAGCAGATCTGTATCGGGTTGCCTGGCAGGGCTCCTGGACCTGACATGCTGGAGATCGATCCCAAAGAAACGGTGGGTTTGATGGGCACGGGGACGGCTGGCATAGTCTGGCTGCCCGGGTGACAGATGGACTTCATGGGCACCCCAAACGGGCCGTAATCAGGGCTGACCGGCATTGGGGCCATGGAGTCAATGACACCAACGTGGGGCCACATGGATCCCACCATGTTGCTGATCTGGCTGGGCACCGGGTATCCAAGGTGATGCATCACCGAGGCGAGAGGGAGCCCACTGGCCATCATACTCTTGTAGTCCCTTCCGATGATGTTCTCGATGGCGAAGGGGTGTTTAAATCCAGTTGTCTGGGGCCCGTTGACCCCATAGGGTTGGAACTGGGGCAAGCGCCCCATCCCCGGGGCTGTCTCGGAGGAGGCCAGCCCCAGTTTGGTTTGCTGCTGCTGCTGCTGCTGGTGCTGCTGCTGGTGCTGCTGGTGCTGCTGGTGGTGGTGATGCTGGAAATAGTGGATCATTTGGGAGTTCTTGGCGGACAGGTGCTCGGATCGGTGCACCTTGAACCTCTTTCTGCGGCGCAGGAAACTCCCGTTCTCGAACATGTCCCCACAGTCCGGATGCAGAGCCCAGAAGCTGCCCTTGCCTGGCTGGTCAGGTCTGCGGGGGATCTTGATGAAGCAGTCGTTGAAGGAGAGGTTGTGGCGGAGGGAGTTCTGCCAGCGCTGGGTGTTTTCTCTGTAATAAGGAAACCTGTCCATGATAAATTTGTAAATCTCACTCAGAGGCAGCATCTTCTCGGAGGAGCTCTGGATGGCCATCGCTGTCAGCGAGATGTAGGAGTATGGAGGCTTTTGGTCACTGTAGGAATTTTTCCCTGGACGAGGCATCTTTCAGGTTAGGGAAAACAGATCACGAGGAAGTCGCGCAATTCTGCCAAGTTCCCAGTCCAGAAAGCACCTCCGACCTGGTGTGTGGGGATGAGGATCCAGTTCAGTTCCCTGAAGCAAAGTGCCATAAAACGTCTTGAACGCTGCTCCAAGCTGTGCTGCTCGAGGTTGGCGGAGTTTCGGATGCGTTTTGTGTCCCAATATATATGTCGAGGGAAAAAAAAAAAAATGATCTCCTTGTGCTGTCTCACCGGGAGATAAAGAGCCCGAGAAGTGTGTTGTGTGAGCTAACGAGGCTTGTTGTGATCACAGATGCACAGACCCCTGCAGCTCCCTTCAGCGCTTTGTTGCTTTTCATTATCACATGACAATCGCTCAGGGACAAGGAAGGAAGAGAGAGAGAGAGAGAGAGTGAGTGAGTGTGAGAGAGGCAGAGAGAGAGAGAGAGGGGGAGAGAGGGAGAGAGTGTGAGAGTGAAAGAGGCAGAGAGAGAGTGTGAGAGAGGCAGAGAGAGAGAGAGTGTGAGAGTGAGAAAGGCAGAGAGAGAGAGTGTGAGAGAGGCAGAGAGAGAGAGAGTGAGAGAGGCAGAGAGAGAGAGAAGAGAGTGTGAGAGAGGCAGAGAGAGAGAGAGTGTGAGAGTGAGAGAGGCAGAGAGAGAGTGTGAGAGAGGCAGAGAGAGAGAGAGAGTGTGGAGAGTGAGAAAGGCAGAGAGAGAGAGTGTGAGAGAGGCAGAGAGAGAGAGTGTGAGAGAGGCAGAGAGAGAGAGTGAGAGAGGCAGAGAGAGAGAGAAGAGTGTGAGTGAGGCAGAGAGAGAGAGAAGAGAGAGTGTGAGAGAGGCAGAGAGAGAGAGAGTGTGAGAGAGGCAGAGGGAGAAAGAAAGAGAGAGTGTGTGAGAGAGGCAGAGAGATATATAGAGAGAGAGAGAAACACACACTAATCTGGATTCATTTACACCTATTTAGGAAAGCTGCTTCGGCCCATATAGGACATCCTCGTGTTTGAAGGCGGTGTGTGGGGGGTCGGGTGGGATTGTGAGGCTGTGAGAGAAAAGGCTCAGACAAGACAGAGAGTTGACATGTGAAGGTATGCGGCAAACTCCACACCACTCACACCAAAGTTGACTGCTCCCCCCCCAGCTCGAAACGCCCAGACAGTTTCAGATTGGAGAAATAATTAAATATACGTTTTTATGCACTCTCATAAAAAAAAACGACACTTCGCATTATTTCACCAGTGCTGATATAAACTGTGTGTGTGGGTGCGTGTGTGGGGTGGTGCTGCTCGTTATTTTTCTTAACTGATTTGTTTTCAACTTTTTTTTTTTGGGGGGGCGTACCTGGGAAATATGTGATTCATCTGGATTTATTGATTAACTTTATTAATTATTATCGTGGAAAAATGATCGGCTTTGCGTTGGATCGACACTGAGCAACTTTGCTGAAAGTCACACTCAAAGATCCATAAGATTCCCACGTTGCTCAGCATCCCGCCTTGACCATGTGGAGAGGTCATATTTATTCGGGATGGTTTAGAGTTGTGGCCCTCGGGAACAGAATGGATGTGCTTCACCTTGGGTTTTAATGGGCTGTCCTCATTTCATTTTTTAAAAAAAAACCACCCCAAATGAACGCGGAAAATCAAACGTGTGGCTTTCTGCGACGTCTGCATCTCTGGCTTTTTGCTGACAGGGACCGAGCTCACACTCAGAAGAAAAAAGTGTGGAAAGGATATTCTGGTCCAAGTCCCAATCCCAAAACAAAGAGAATATGGATAGAGAGGGAGAGGGAGGGGGGGAGGGGGGAGAAGCAAATAGAGAGGGGGAAAAAAATCGGGGACATGTTGCTATAACAATCCAAGTAAAAAGGAAGTGTATATATGTCGCTGATCAGAGCCACTCTGCAGGAAGATTTCATGTATTTTCAGGCTGAACCTTGAGTAGGCGACACAGCGGCCATACAGATCAATAGGGACTGACACCCCGCGCTGTTAGAAACTCTGTCAAGCTGGATGCTGAGCAACGGGGACATGTTTTGATCTTTCAATTTTAACAGGAGCCTTATTCTTTCACCACCATCTTCAGTGGTCAGGAGCAAAACAATACCATGTCCCCCCCCCCCCCACCTCCTCCTCCCTTTGCATCCTCTGCCGAGCCATCCTCACAAGCCTCTCATTCATTGGCCACGACTGTATCCTAGTCCCGGGGTGATGGAAAGAGAGAGAGAGAGAGAGGGGGGGAGACTGGGGGAAAGTTAGATTGGGGATGAATGGGAACAGCACGGAAAGTCCAAAGAAAAACACACTGCTTTGGGGGCAGTTTGGTTATTAATGGGACTCATTTGCATCCCAATCACAACTTCGTACGTGTGAGAACAAAATATATAAAGCCTGCTAAGCTCCCAAGACTGTAAAAAGGTAATTCATTTCACTTTTATCTATGAAACAATGCTGTTTAATAAGCACTAAGCAAATTAAACGCTCCAATCCTGACATATTAAAAAAACAGTTGACTTTTTTTTCCTCTCTCTGAGCTTGCAGTTATCTTTGCATTCGCTGGGGAGGGGCTGGAAAGGCTGTCAATTGAAATACAGTACTGTATATTGAGAGAAACTCAGTGCTGTGTGAGCATATTTAATTGGCACTCTTTTGCGATTTGATTTAAATCTGGGTCAGGACTAAAGACCACAAGGGACAAGGTGTGTGTGTGTGTGTGTGTGTGTGTGTGGTGGTGGTGGGGGTGCAAACGAGTTAAGAAAAAAATGTATTTTGTTTAAGAAAACCGGAGACAAAACTGATCGACAGGATTAACACTCTCTCTCTGTGACTTCCCGACCAGAGTTGGTTGGTCACTGTGGTGACATTGAGAAGCACTGACTGACTGACTCCCAACTGCACTGCAGTCCATCTCAGGTCACTGTGTGTGGTGAGGTGCAGTGCCACACAGAGAGGGACATGCCAACCAGGGCACTCTCTCTCTCTCTCTCTCACACACTCCTTTTCCCTTGAATTGGTAACCCACCCCAACCTGAGATCCTGTCGGATTCCTCCTTTTGCTGAAATCGGATGCGGAATCACAGCTCTGGGATCCAAGTGGTTTTAACAGGTTCAGATCCGCTACGAAAATGAGATGGTTTGCGTGGCGAGGCTCCCAGGTTTGCTCTGTGTTTTGCACTTCACTGCTCTACCCGGAGAGGCCGAACTGCCATAGTGTGTGGGGATCACTGTGCATTTGCACCTGAGCTGTGAGATCGCGCACAGTTTTTTTATTTGGTCATGAAAGGCGGAGATGTGAAAGCACTGAAACCAGCCTCAAGGCTCACTGGCAGTGATAAGCTGTACACCCTCTCACTGTGTGACAGGGGGAGCATTGCCCGCTATCAAAAGCTTGTGGGTTTAAGCCTCAAGTTTAAGTCCTGTTTAGGCTGATGGCTCCAGTAAGGGGGAGGGAGGGGTTTGCATTGCTGGAGATGTTTTTTTCCAAAATCCCGTCTGCCTATTCCAGGTGGACGTTAATGCTAAGTTTGCTTAATGATAAATATTAATGAGAAATATGCTTGCTGCATATTTTCACACAAAAACAGTCACTGCACTTGAGCGCCTCAACACGCTTGCCACGTATTCTACATCAGTGATTTCCTGGATTTCTGTTCTTTTTGCTCTGCTAACTCAGGCCTGTTTGACTTCCCTCACCCTCTACCTCCCAGCTACATTAGATGGACGTTCAGCTACTGTATCCCCATTCTCTGAAACTCTTAATAAATCCACTCAGCTGGCACTTTCCTTCTCTGCTTTCTCGAAAACTCTCATCTGTTTGACAGTACCGACCGCCAAACTCCTGATTAGGTTCCAATTCAGTCCTGTGAGAGTTTAAAGTCCACCTGAACAGGCAGATGGGAACTCAGTTTAATGTCTCCTCTGAAGGACAGCATCTTCGACAATATACTGTCACCTTAGACTATGTGATTCGGAATCCCCAAATGGGGCTTGAATCCACAACCTTCTGACTCAGAGGTGAGAGTGCACCAGGCTGACACATAAAATGAGACATAAAATGTGTTCCTTCTTGAAGCATACACAGTAATTACTTGCAAAGCACTTGAAATACAGTATTTTGATGTGGTTAGATGCTATAAAAGTTCTTTTTTAAAACTTTCTTTTAATATTATACAATTTCACAATTCAGTTCTCAGTGGAATAGCTTATTGAAATAACAACTTGCATTTATATAGTGCCCCACACACATCCCAGAGTGCTTAAACAAATATGCTGAATGCTGTTTTACAGGGTACAAAGGTTGATGACATTTTTAATTGCTGGCAAAGAAGAAAAAGGAAGAGATTTAAACAAAAAAGGGAAAAATATGAACGGTTGTAAGAAAAGAGAATGGAATTAAGATTAGAAAGGTCTAGTAGAGGAGCGAGCAATGGCATTGGCTCAGCCAGCCAAATAGCTTCCTGCTGGGCTCCAATTTCTATGAGTCTAAATAAATTCTAAAGACTGTCCTATTAGTTGTTTTCTAACATTAGAAAGTAAAATGGTTTCACCTCGCTACACGAGAAGTTTTCTGAATTTAAATTAAAGTTTAAAAAGTTTGCCTTTGTTCGATTTATACTCCAGCCAAAGAGGAATGGAATCCTGAGTTTGGTTCACAGCTGAATCTTGAACTCATGGAGTCATTATTTCGGTTGTGCAGCCTCCAATATGTGTTAGATTTTAGAGGTTTTATTACAGTAAGAAAGTACCTGCACTTTTAGAACACCTTAACACTTCAAAATATTTCAAAGCACTTCTCAATGTATCAATATCCAGAGTACGTTAGAATACATTAGAATATAAAGCACAGAAACAGGCTATTCGGCCCAACTGGTCTATGCTGGTGTTTATGCTCCACATGAGCCTCCTCCTGCCCTTCCTCAACTAAGCCTTCAAGCATAACCTTCTATTCCTTTCTCCCTCATGTACCTATCTATCTTTCCCTTAAATACACCTATGCTATTTGCCTC